GCGCCCACCGCGGGCGCACGGACTCCATGGAGAGCATGCGCTTTATGTTTTGTTTCACCACGTTTCACTCGCTGTCGCTGCCCTGGCGGAGATTGCTGCGATTGCCACTGCGGGGCGCGCGGGCGATTTCATTAAAACACGCACGCACGCACCATTTGGAGAACAGGAGGGGGGCGCGGGCGGGAAAGTGAAATCCCCCCCCCATCATCCCCTCGCGGCCCCAGCCTGTTCTTGAAATGGGGAGTCGCCTTCAGTCGTTCTTTAGTTCAGACGCAGGACATGGCCCTACCTGCGCGTGGGGAGAAGGAAGGAAAAAAAGAGGAGGTCGGCGCTCCTCCTGCTCTTCCTCCTGCTCCTCCTCCTCCCCCTCCTCTTCCTCCTCCTCCTCGTCCTCCTCATCTCCCCCTCCTCCTCCGCCCACTCCTCCTCTTCTTCTTCCTCCTCCTCCCCCTTGCATTCCTCCTCCTCCTCCTCCTCCTCGGGGAGGAGAGAGAGATTGCTGCCTGCGGTGCTGCCCTCGCTGCAGCACTACAGGCCGCACTATGTGCATGTGCAAACATACATGTGTGCGTTTATATTCATGCGTCAACGCCAAGCATACATATAACACATAACACTTGGATGCGCCATAATTAACACTATGTACATGTATGCAAATATACATGTGTGCATTTAGATTCATGCGTTTATATGCGCACACACATATATTTAGGCCCAACACTCAAATGTTCATATAACACATAACACTTGGATGCGCCAACACATTAGTTAACACTTGGAGACCCCAACGCGCAACCAACAAACCGGAACCCGGAACCCGGAACACTTCAAGGACCTCTGGGAAGGCGTCGGCGCCCGACGCCGCCCTCCCCTCGCGCGTCGTCCGCCCCGCAGGAGCGCGGACCTCCTACCGAGCAGCCAGCGGCGCACCCGTCGCGTTCGCCTTATGTTGGTGCACGCGCCGCCATAGCCGAGGCATTCATATTGCCCATAAAGCGCGCTTTTCAGGGCCGACAAATGCAGTCGCGGCGGCGCGCGGTTCGCAGTGTGAGCGGTTTGCGCGGTTTTGCAGTTTCATTGTTCACGGCCATGGAAAAGGCACGGCGCGGCGCGGGGTCGCGCGGGGCGCGGCGCCGCGGCGCGCGAGAGCGCCCGCGCCGCGCGGGCGCGATCGGCAGGAGCGGCGCGCGTCCGCGCGCGGAGGGGCGGGGGGGGGGGGGGCGCGACAACGTCTCCTCCCCCCCTCCTGCGTGCGCGAGGGGTTGCGCCGCATCGGGGTCGCGGGGGGGCGCGCGAGCGCGCCCCCGCGCGCGGCGTTCTCGCAGGTGTTGGAATATAATTATGTCAACCCGCAAGGCGCGCGGAAATGGGCGCGCGCTCGGCTTCCGCTTGCCCGCCCGCGCCCATCCTGCGCCCCGCGGGGCGTGCTGCGCGCGGTGGTTCGCGTGCGCGGCGCTCTCGGCTTCCTTCCTGTGCTTTGTCCTGCCCGTGCCCACCCGCCCGGGGGTGTGCGTCTGGCTCGCGCTTAGGGGCGCTCGCTTCGCTCGGCCCCACCCGTGCCCGCCCTCTTGGGGTGTGGGGTGTGGCTCGCGCTTGGGGGCGCTCGTCTGGTCGCGCGCTTCTGGACAGCGCGTGGCGGTGGCGGCGCTACCGCTGGTCGTGCTCGGTCGCGCGGCGGGGCGCGGCAGGGCGTCGGCGCCCGATGCCGCCCCCCCTCCGCGCGTCGTCGGCCCCGCAGGAGCGCGGAGCTCCCACCGTGCAGCCAGCGGCGCACCCGTCGCGTTCGCCCTATGTTGGTGCACGCGCCGCCATAGCCGAGGCATTTATTAGGTGCAGGCGGGCACGTTTATGTTGGTCGGCCGAGGCTCGGCGCTTCTTTGGATTTCGCTGCCCTTTTGGATTTCTGCGTCCCTTTTGGTATTCGCCGCCCCTTGTGGCTTTCAGCGCCGTCTTGGTTTGTTCGGTTCTCTGTTGGTTTTCGGCGCCTCTTTCTGTTTTCGGCGCCTTTTCGGTTTTCGGCGCCCCCTTGGTCTTCGGCGCCCTGTTGGTTGTCGGCGCATACTTGGTTTTCGGCGTCCCTTTGGTTTTCTGCGCCGCTTTGGTTTTCGGCGCCCGTGTGGTTTTTGGCGCAATTTTGGGTTTCGGCGCGTATTTGGTTTTCGCTATCCCTTTTGTTTTCGGCGCCGCTCTGGTTTTCTGCGCCTTTGGGGTGTTCGGCACCTCTTTGGTTTTCGGCGCCCTTTGGGTTTCGGCGCCTTTTTGGTTCTCTGTGCTCCTTTGACATTCGGCGCCTTTTTTCTGGTCTTGCCATTTTCGTTCTCGGCGCTCCTTTAGTTTTCGACGTTCCGTTGGTTTTCGCCGCTCCTTTCGTTTTCGGCGCTCCTTTGGTTTCCTGCGCGCCCTTTGAGTGTTGCGACCTGTTGGTTTGCAGCGCCCTTTTGGTTTCGAGCGCCCGTTTGGTCTTCGGCGCTCTCCTGGTTTTCGGCGCTCTGTTGTTTTCGGCGCCCGTTTGGTTTTCGACGCTCCTTTTGGTCGCGCTCCTTGGATTTTTGGCGCTCTTTTGATGTTCGGTGCATCGTTGGTTTTCGGCTCCTTCTTGGTCTTCGGCGTTTCTACAGGGGAGGGGGAGGCAGCTTCCGAGGGGCGGAAAACAGGAGGGGGGGGATTTCCGGCAATGGGGGTCCAAGGGAGGGGGGGTAGTCAAGCTAGGTGCGCTCGCGTCATATCTGACGTCCTACCCCTTCCTCCCATCCCTTACCATGGAGCTGATTTTCTCTATCCGCGGACGCGTGTCGTAGCGGACCTGTGGCTCCGCGCGCGCGTGCGTAGTGGGTGGTGGTGCGCGTGCGTGCGTGCGTGCGTGTGTGCGTGGTTGTGGTGGTGCTGGTGCTGGTGCTGGTGCTGGTGCTGGTGCTGGTGCTGGTGCTGGTGCTGGTGCTGGTGCTGGTGCTGGTGTTGGTGCTGGTGCTGGTGCTGGTGCTGGTGCTGGTGCTGGTGCTGGTGCTGGTGCTGGTGCTGGTGCTGGTGCTGGTGCTGGTGCTGGTGCTGGTGGTGGTGGTGGTGGTGGTGGTGGTGGTGCGGCTCGGTGGTGGCGGGCGGATGGGCGCGCGAGAAAGAGGCCCGCGCTGGGGCGAGCGGGAGCACGATTCGGAACGATTCGGGGGCAGAAATGAGGCCGGCGCCTCAGCAAGAGCAGCATTTTGAACAAAAAACGCAGGCGAAAACCCAACTCCCAGGTCCTGTGTGTAAAAAAGCAGTACGCGGGGGGGGGGGTCGGCCACTCCCGGCACGCCATCAGGGGAAGAGGGAGCGTAGCATTCATATGGAGTATTGGTGGTCCCCAAACGCGGTGGTGAGAACACCCGGTGGTGAGTTTTGGGCGATTTGGGTAATGGTTTTCGAGCGCTGGCTGGCCCAGGAAACGCAAAACCTAGTGGCGACCGCGTGTCCCCAAACCCGGTGGTGACCCAGAATTATTTCTTTGGGGAATCCGGGTCACCACCAGGTGTCTCACCACCTGATTTGGAGACCACCAAAAGTAATTGTTAGGCCTCCCCCCGCCCTCCGAAAAGGGAAGGGGGTAGGGGATGGGGGGGTAGCTTCCGAGGGGCATGCGAAAGGAGGGGGGGTTGGCTTCCGGCAGGGGAGGGCCAGAGGGCGACGAGTGGAGCCCCCGGGCTCCATACCCGGCAGGAGGGCACCATGCCCGGAAGCAGGTCAATCCCCGACAGAAGGGTTCGATCCTGGGCACCCACCTTACTCCAGATCTCGTAATAAAAGGGAGGGGGTCTAGACCCTCCAAGACAAGCCATTTCAGACCTCCCCCGTGGGAGAACCCTCCAAAACATCGTCCCCAGACCCCCCCAGGCCCTCCAAGATAGCTTGGAAAAGACCCCCCCCCGAAATGAGACCCCCCTCCCTTTATTACGAAATCTGGAGTAATTATACGTCAGAAGCCAAGGAGATACTTGAACTCAGAATGCCCACGCGAGCCCTATAAGGGGGCCACATGCAAGCCCTACCCCTGCCCCCCAAGATTTCTGAGGGGGAGGGTGGGGTTCACTTCGTTCGGGAGCTCCCGAGCGAAGTGAACCCCACCCTCCCCCTCCGAAATCGTGGGGGCCGGGGGTAGGGTTGGCATGTGGCCCCCTACAGAAGCCAAGGAGATACTTGAACTCAGAATGCCCACGCGAGCCCTTGTAAGGCGACCACGTGAAGTATAGAAGCGCTTTCGCCGGGGATCGAGTTCTTCTGGGCTTCTGTGTACTGCCATCCTTGTAGTCGAGGCCCGGTTGGAATTGAATGGATTTCCTTCCAAATGGAGTCAAAATGGGTTTATTTTCGGATCCACGGCGATAGTATTGGAATGCCACAGCATTCCTCGTTAACGGAATCCTGATGTCCTCTCTATCGGGTATTGATGGGGATGTTGATGGCATCCACAGGACCCTTTTCTGTGGGATTTCTATTCGCACCCTAGTGTAAGCCAATTGGCATACAAAGTCTCCTCGTCGTGGGAGTCCTACTGGACTATGGTATTTGCCCCTCGCGGAATTTCAATAAGATGAATTATCCGTGGGTTCCTATTGCGTAGGTTCCTTCAGGAATCTTATTGCAACCCAATGCTATAGTCACCCATCGGGCCACATCAGGTTCCTAATTTGACCCAGTGGGATACACTGGGATTCCATGCGATTGGGTTCCTATTGAGACGCTGTTGGATTTTTGTTTGGATTTGATTAAACAACAAGATGCATTAGTGTTGGATTCCCGTTGAAGTTGTGAGTGATTGATCGCACAATATGTGTAATGTAGGTGTCAAGACCTTGTGTAGGTGGTATATATACACGTACGTGCGGTACACCTAGTTATTGGACGAAGGTATATGTACTGAGCTATCGCACACTACGTGTATGCAGGTGTTTAGGCCGTATGTCTGTGGTATATGTACGTATAAACATCCATATACATACAACATGTATCCGTAGTTTTTTTTGGCTCAAGAATTTTTTGGCTCAAGCCTTTAATCGATCGATCGCGGCTGCTGCCTCGAACAGATCCAATGAACTCTTGTGTTGGCTTCACGTCGGTGGCGCTCGTGTGCATGTCGGGGCTGCTCGTATTCCTGAGCGTGGCCTGGCGAGGACCAGCGGTTGAATTAAGTTCTGCGCTGGTATTTGCCAGAGCAGCATGATCAATGTGAGCGGCCGCACGGGCAGCACGGTCGTGAAGTCCAGGCGGAATGCCGCTGAGGCCAAGCAGTGCAAACAATTGCCTTGTATCCCAAGTCTGAAAGTTTCGAGTCGGTCGTCCAAGTTGCAGATCATGGGACAGGGCAAGGGTGGCGCCACGGTGTCCGCCCAGATCATGTTCAATTTTCTGAACATAACTGAAAAGGCGTTGGAGTACAGCCGCTGGATTCACGATTACCGTTGCGAAGTATTCAACAAGGATCCAGACCACAAGTCATACAAGTGCTCTGAGTGCGGGCTGAATGGCTTGAAGTGTCTCTATATAGTGCGCAATCCGTTGGATCGAGTGGTCTCTTCGTACGTTCACACCATGAGTACCAACAATATGCACACATCTATCAGAGGCAAAATCGCAGACTTCGCAGCAGATGCCTTTTTCGCGGAGTTCATCGCTTTCTTGAAAGGCACTGCAGCAACGGGTCGCCGCTATTGGGGTGACCCTCATTACCTGCCCCAGTGCGACACGGTCTGCGAACATACTGAATTTGACCGGGTGCAACATCTCCTAATCGAGAGCTTGGATGCTGGATTGGCTTGGTTCGGCCAAACCGAAAACATACAGGGCCTGACCAGAAATAACATGTCATCGAAACACTACGTCAAGAAGTCCTCCCGGATGGATCCAGGCGCAGCATATCTCCGCTACAGCAAGCATCTGCATGATTCGCCTCCGTCTTACGAGTCCTTTCTCGCCGAGCCCAGCATATTCAAGGATGTATGTTGTTTTTTCCGGACAGATATCGAGTTGTACCGCAAGTCATGTTCTGCAGAGTGGCTGCAGGGGTGCGCAGAATGCATGGACAGTTGTGCCAGAGAGCTACGGAGGTTGGCGCCCTGCAATGATGTGTAATTATAGCCGGAGTGCAGTATCCCCAAACAGGGTTTTTAGACCCACTGCGGTTTCCAAGGTCGATTGCGTGCACGTCCAGTGCGGGCTGGCATGGCATGTTGAAACATGCCTCTCCTCCTCCTCCTCCTCCTTCTCCTCCTCCTGCTTCTCCTTCTCTTCTCTTCTCTTCCTCCTCCTCCTCCACCTCCTCTTCATCCCGAACGGCATCTCGGAGCCCAGAGTTGCGAGGATGTCTCCAGCGTAACGGGCTGGACCACCTCGCGCGCGGCATTTCGGACCCCAGAGTTGCGACGATGTCTCGGGCGAAACGTGCTGCGAGGAAGTCTCAGGCGAAACGGGCCGGACCGCCTCGAGCGCGGCGTCTCAGAGCTCTGAGTTGCAGGGGCCTTCTGGGGCCTCCTGGGACCTCCTGGTGACCTCCTGGGGCTTCCTCCTGGGCCTCCTATGGCCTCCTGGACCCCACCTGGGGCTTCCTGAAGCCTCTTGGGGCTCCCAGGGGGGGATATCTAACATGTGGCCGTCGGGGCCCCCCAAAATGGCTAAGCACCCGAAAAGAGCCGGACGCTCAAATTTGAAAATCTCCCGAAAACGCCAGAGAAGTTCGAAAAGTAGAAAAGTCGAACAGTTGAAAAGTTCAAAAGTAGTCCGCCGGTGCCTGCGAAAAGTCGAAAAGTTGAGGAGTCAAAAATTGTTCGACTTTTCTACTTTTCGACTTTTCGGCTTACCGCGTCGAGGGACATCCCAGGCGCCCCGCGTAGCGCTCTCGCCGCAGAGGGGTGCAGAAGTGCATCAATTCAAAAAGTCGAAAAGTAGAAAACGTTTCGACTTTTCGACTTTTCGAGCGCTTCAGCGTTGCACTTTTCAACTTTTCGAGTTTTTGACTTTTTGGGCTTCGTCGCGGAGCGGGGCACTTTTCGACTTTTCGATTTTTCTAATTTTCAGTTGTTTTGTGAGGCGCTGCACTTTTTCAACTTTTCGATTTTTCAACTTTTCGACTTTCCACGCTGCGCTCGCCCCGATTCCACCAAAATCGGCCGGCTCCTCATTATTTCCTTCCTTTTCATTCCCAGCCCTCTTTGTGTTGGGTACTCGTTTTGAACAGAGCGCCGCGGTCTCGTCCTCCTCTCCTCCTCCTCTCCTCCCCCCCTCCTCGTCCTCTCCTCCGGACTCCCACTCCGGGGCAAGTTTTGGCAACACCGGCCGGTGTTATGGCCCAGGAGGCCCCTGGAGAGCATCCAGAGGCCCCAGAGACGCCCCAGAGAGCCCCAGGAGGCCCCAGCACGGACTCAGGCCATAACGCCAGTCGATTTTTATGGAATCGGGGCAAGTGTTGGCACAATCGGCCGGTGTTATGGCCCAGGAGGCCCTTGGAGAGCATCCACAGGCCCCAGAGACGCCCCAGAGAGCCCCAGAGAGCCCCAAGAGGCCCCAGCACGGCCTCAGGCCATAATGCCGGCCGATTTTGGCGGAATCGGGGCAAGTTTTGGCAAAATCGGTTGGTGTTATGGCCCAGGAGGCCCCCGGAGAGCATCCAGAGGCCCCAGAAACGCCCCAGCCCCACCCATGCCCGGGCCCCCTGGGGTCCGCGGGGGCGGCGTGTCCGCGCGGTGCTGCATCGGCGTGGCGGGGCCCCGCGCCGAGCTGGCCCCTGGGCTGCCCACCTCCAGCCACGAGCCCGCCTCCGAGCCCGACTCCGCGCTGCCGCGCCCTTGCGGTGCGGCGCCTTGACGCCGCTGGGCGCCCTGGTCCCCGCCATCGAAGGCACGGCGGAACGTAGGGTACCAGTAGCGGGCGGCCCAGTCCAGGGCGGGCTGCAAACCGGCTGCACGTAGAGCTGTGCCTACCTGTGACGCTTGAACCACATCGATGTAGATGCGCAGCGAGGAGTCGACCCTCCATCTTCCCGTTTCCCTGATAATCTCGAAAGGGATCCCGAGGGCGGCCGACTCCGAAGCAAAACCGGCTCGAGGGCTCTGCGGCCCCCACCCGACTTCAAGGTTGAAAGAGGCCTGCACGGTCTTAATGAGGCTTTATTTTACTTTTTATATTTTCTTTTTTGCTTCTTTGCTTACGGTACTGGGCAGGGAGCACGGGAAAAAGCCGCTTTTTGTTGGTTTCTGGCCCTGAGAGGCGGCGACGGCGAAGAATCTGAGGCGCCATCTGCGAGCCCGGCTTCCGCTCCTTCAGGGAAGACACGACTGTGGACGTTTGGCTTCGTCATCGCCCGGAGTCCCACAAACGATGGACGACAGGTACCGAGCCTCTTCTTCCTTTTTCTTTCTTTTTTCTTCTTTTTTTTTTTCTTTTCGTTTTTTTTTCGCTCTTTGTTTTTTTTCTCTCCAGGATAGCCCCAGTCCTCCGGGAGGGTGACGTCGTCAGCCTCTACCCCCAGCATTTCACTCGGCCTCATCCCGAACTTGCCCTGGATCACGATGCCGAACCCAAGGCGCGGCACACCTCTGGCACAAAAATGAATACACATCCAGGCACACACGTTACTGATCATGGGGACGGTGTGACGAGGTTGGTGAGCATAGTCCCAGCCCTTGAGGGCCGCCTTAACCCGACACAGCCTCCCCTTCATGCGCGGGAGGCGGAACTCCACCGCCGCGAGGAGCAGGGTGAACTTGGACTTAGGACCCCATCCCCACAGCCTCGGAGCCCCCAAACCTCTTGAAGTCCATGATAGCGTCATCCCACTGATCGGGGGGGGGGTGAACGGCTCCACCCCCTCTCTGGCACACCACTTCACAAAAGGGTCCACCGCCTCCTTATACTTGAGGGCTGTAGTAGCTGTGACCCTCCCCTCCTCCTGCACATCGACTATTTCTGAATCGTCCTGAACTGCTGGACGGCCTGGGCCGGGTCCTGCGAGATGCTCTCTAACACTTCCCTCCATGTCCTACTGCGCGACACCCAATCGGCAGGCATCCGCCACGTCTCGACCCAGGGCAGCAGCAGGCGTAGCTCAGCGGCGGCACATGGGGCGCATCGGCGGCGGAGGAGGAAATTGAGCGGCCCCGCGGCGGACCTCCCCTTGGCAATGGCGTACGAGCAAGGCATGTTGTCCTCTAGCGAAATCACCTTACTCCTATAAAGCTCTGAACCTGCACCAACCTCTCCAGCCCCAAAACGACGGCCCTCATCTCCCCCACGGTGATGTGCTCCTCCCACCTCCACCTACCAGCAGCGACTGGGATCCAGGACCAGGGTGCCTCCCAGATCTCCTTCGGGACCGAGCTGACGGGGAGGTTGGGGTGGAGCGAGCGGGCGGCCTTGTCGAGAACGCGCTTCTCCTGGCCCAGGCGAGAGAGAGCGAAACCAGGCCTGGTCCCGGCCTCCCAGAGCAAGCGGGCCTCACGGCCCGACATCACGGTGGCGACGATGCCGTAGCCCCCGCAATCCAGACCGTTCGGCCCCTCGGCATCCGTGGCCAGGACCACCTCCGAGACGGGCGCCCCCAGGTCCACGTAGAGCCCCATGAGCCCACACCTCATAACCTTCCACTCCCTCAGAGCACCGGGCCACCGGGAGGGTCTCAAAAAATAAAAGGTCTTTGAAACAATAGCAACATAGAGAAGATCGGTTTTTTTCTAAACAAATATTAAAACAGATTGTAGCAAAATAAGAGATTGTAAAAGAAAATAGCGGAGGATCTCTTGCGACCTCCGGGTTGTGAAAAAATAAAGGCTTGTAAAAACAAATAACGGATTGTAAGAATTATGCTGACGGAGTTCCCCACATAAAGATGCTACGGGGTTCCATTGCTTCTTGTCTGCGCTCTGGTGGGGCCTCCCTGGAGGGGTGGGAGGGGCACGAAACCTGATGAATAATATGGTGTGCGAATACCCTGCCCGCTCTGGTGGGGCCTCCCTGGAGGGGTGGGAGGGGCAAGAAACCTGATAAATAAATGGTGTACGGATACCCTGCCCGCTCTGGTGGGGCCTCCCTGGAGGGGTGGGAGGGGCACGACACCTGATAAATAACATGGTGTGCGAATGCCCTGCCTGCTCTGGTGGGGCCTCCCTGGAGGGGCGGGAACGGCACGAAACCTAATAATAAAATATGGCGTGCGAATGCCCTGCCCGCTCTGGCAGGGCCTCCCTGGAGTGGCGGGAGGGGCACGGAACCTGATACATAATATGGTGTGCGAATGCCCTGCCCGCTCTGGTGGGGCCCCCCTGGAGGGGTGGGAGGGGCATGAAACCTGATAAATCATATGGTGTGCGAATACCCTGCCCGCTCTGGCGGGGCCTCCCTGGAATGTTGGGAGGGGCGCGAAACCTGATAAATAACATGGTGTGCGGATACCCTGCCCGCTCTGGTGGGGCCTCCCTGGAGGGGTGGAGGGGCACGAAACCTAATGAATAATATGGTGTGCGAATACCCTGCCCGCTCTGGTGGGGCCTCCTGGAGGGGTGGGAGGGCCACGAAACCAGATAAATAACATGGTGTGCGAATGCCCTGCTCGCTCAGGCGGGGCCTCCCTGGAGGGGTGGGAGGGGCACGACACCTGATAAATAACATGGTGTGCGAATACCCTGCCCGCTCTGGCGGGGCTTCCCGAATGTTGGGAGGGGCGCAGAACCTGATACATAACATGCGTGTGCGATACCGGCCGCTCTGGGGGGGCCCCTCCCGGCAGGGTGGGAGGGGCTCTAACCCATGTAAGTAATATGGTTGTGCGAAATACGCTGCCCCACGCTCTGGGGGGGCCTCATGGAGGGGTGGGAGGGGCACGAAAACCTGATAAAACGTGTGGTGTCGAATGCCTCTGCCCAGATCACGATCTGGTGGGCCTCCATGGGTTTTCTATTGTTTGTCTCCTCGTTGAGCGGTGGGAGGGACAGGAATACAGATAAATATCATGGTGTGCGAATGCCCTGCTCGCTCAGGCGGGGCCTCCCTGGAGGGGTGGGAGGGGCACGAAACCTGATAAATAACATGGTGTGCGAATACCCTGCTCGCTCCCAGGGGGCCCTCCCTTGGAGAGGTGGGTAGGGCCACGAAACATGATGAATAATTCTTGTTATGGTGTGCGAATTACCTGATAGCTCAGGCGGGGCCCCCCTGGAGGGGTGGGAGGGGCACGAAACTTGATAAATAACATACTGTGCGAATGCCCTGCTCGCTCAGGCGGGGC